TACTTTTTATTCGTATAGATTGATAATAAAATGATAAAAATAGTAATTGAATATTTTTTAATTATGTATTTTAATATAGGTCCCTTGGGAGAATATCTTGACAATAGAATGGGTGGAAATCTAAATCCAACCTTTGGTCAAGCTGTTGGAGGCTATCCAGGTGTCAATGGATTTAGTGGTTATCCAAACTATGGCAATTCATTTGGTTATTACATGTAACGAGCAATATGCATAAAAACTCGACTTTTTTTTGTTCACAATAATTTATTCTAATGCATCCTACTTAAATGTTTCATTTACTTTTTTTTATCTATTACAAAAATAAAGTATAATCATGATCAAGTTTCATGTGTCTTATGAATATGCATCGAAGAAACAAAACACAAATCAGATTTTCTCGTCAGAATATCAGTACTTACTTTTGAAATTAGTTTGAAAACTAAATTGTTCGTATTGAAAATACCTGAAACAAAAAACAATCTCGTATTATCGGGATTGGACTGAAAAATATTGATGATTGATTAGCCGTTGTGTTTTGAAAAGATCTGCTATCAGATGTTGTAGTTGTATCATAGAAAGTTTCATATTAATAAGCTATATCGATAGTTAGGTGTACAGAGGAGTACAAATCGATGAAATAGCAAGGTCTGATTTTACTTCAATGAATGTACTTAACGGATTTTGTCTTTTCACTATAATATCTAACTACGTAATTGATTTAACTTGTATAGCTAGTCATCGTTATTCTGTGATTCATCGATCATATAAATGAGCTAGATAAAGTGAAAAAAATTGTCAAAAGAATAATTTGATACCAATAGTAATTATTGATTTTCAATAGACTCAAAATAAAATATGTTAAGCATTATATTCTTACTGACTAGATAGATGAATTCTAGAAATTAAGGTCATAAGTCTTATGATTAATTTAAAAAAATTATCCAAATACTAAAGAAATCCATTGTAAGACTATTTAGTTAGATATCTGTTAATTTTCGAAAATGATACTGTTCAAAGTAAAATATCTATCATCAATTGTAAAGAATCTTTAAAAAGAAATATTCATACAGAAAATATTGATCTGAAGTAAATTTATTGAAAAATAATACTAACGTAAGATCAGAATTAGCTAGTCATCAAGAGTCAAACGAAAAGAACTCGAAAAAGAAAACTAAATGTAATTATTATTTTCAAACGTTTAAAATAAATAAATAATAGAATATATCTAAGAAGTAAAGTTTCGTAATATATTTTGTTTCCAAAATAATTATTTCATTAGTAGTTTCTTAGACTTAATATATGATTGTGTGCAACTACTCTCAGATGTTAGATATAGTCTAACTTTTGCAGAAAAAGTTTTTTGGTTAATCAAAAGCAATTTTGAAGTAGTTTGAGAATGTTCATAATTAGCATATTGATTGAATTATAGAAACTCATGTTCAATATGGAGATCAACTTTTCGATTTTTAATAAATACATACACTTGAATTTGTTTCAAAGAGTATTTTTCACTAAATATACAAGATTAGTAACATTTGAGTCATGCATAATATTGTAACAACAACAAGAGTATTCATGCATGCGTGAAAACTATCAAGAAAGATACTTGCTATTGGATAAAAGCAAATCACATTCACTGATACTTCCTCCAAACAACGGCAATGATGTTACTCAGTCGCAAGCTATAAAAAGAAAGGTAATACCCAGAAAAATATCTCATAACGTGTTTCAAGTTGTCCTAAGCAACAGTTACAAAAAAAGAAAAAGAGCCATCAGTAAATATGTGTAAGTATTCAATGAAAATGCAGTGTCTAGTATTTGGAAAATTTTTATAAAATTGATTTGAATTGTTTTGATGGTATTCTATAACTAGGTGCGGCAAATAATCGTCTGGAAAAAAAATGTGATGTTGACTTGAATGGCGACGGATTTATCGGAGGAGAAGGTAATGGATCGATTGAATATTTGTACTGTATCATAAAATATGATTCATTTTGATCTTTTTAGGTTTGGGAAGTAAATTGGAAAAAATAACTCATGTTGATCTTAATGGCGATGGCATTATCGGTCGTCTACCAGGTAATATTCCTGTCAATAATAATTTTCCTCCTTCTAATTATGGTTGCGATAACAATTATATTCCTCCGGCAAATAGCTATGGTTCCGATTCTTACTGATGCTCATAATACCTGATGAACAATATTATTACTATTTTCTAGTTGAAGTAATCATAGTTATAAACAATGCTAATCAATATTAATTTTTCTTCGTTTCTATTCTTCCATATTTAAACCATTTTTTATATCGCTTTTGAAACAAATAATTATCTCACTTCTTTTCTTTCATATTAATAACGATCAAAACTAAATAAAATATTGCAATACATTATCCTAGTCCTATTTCGTTTATTCATAATTAAAATAGATGACAGTGAAAAAATGAGAAATGATTCCTTATTGTTTTTTTATTTTTTTAACAGTTCAAAATAATAAAACGAATGTGTAAAGTTAGTTAACTTATGTTATTTCTGCTGATATCTATTTGAATTCTACCAAAGACAAGAAAAAGGTGACATTCTCTTTATAATTTTGATGATCGCACTATAATATTTCATTGATTGCTATAAGGTTTTTTTAATTTATTATTTAAACTTGATTGCATTTAGTCTCTCTGCATAATTGCTTAAACAACTTGTCAGTGGTTGTTGTTATTATTATTGTTATTATTATTATCGAATGATACTCTATCTATTGCATCGACAAAAAACGATTTTTTCAATCATTAATTTTCAGTTGAATTTTTCGATGATAAATAAGAATAGTCATTCACATCGTACAAAAATTTGTTGTAACACTTTATTTCTTCTGCATAGTTGAAATAATAATTAAATTGATTTGTGTTGAAGTTGTTTCATAAATATGAATTGAAACTTTTTGACTATTCAACAATGTAACTTATAATTAGTTTAAAAGGTTTTTCTTTATTGATTTTGTAAAGAATTTCACACGAAGGCAGATTCATTCTGAAAAATCTCACGAGATTTAATGAAGCACGACAGATACCCACCAGAAAACTTCAAAAAATATTAAAACATTGCAAGTACGAGTTCTATTGTCGATATCATCGGCGTAGATTTAAATACTAACTAGATGAAGTCACAGATTTTTAGAAAAAATATTTCAATTTATTGCTTAAGATTTTATGCAGAATGATATTAAAAAAATCAAAAAAAGATAATAAGAATCATTTGGGATTATTATTTGCATGTATTCCAGTTCGAGTCGCCTTGGAAAGTTTTACAAAGCAGTAAATATAAAGTGACATCAAAAGAAATCATTTCTTGTGATCGTATCTTACTTTCAAACACCTACTGAACATTTTGTTTTTTTGTAATTATGAAATAAAAAAATTCTATCTAACAGAATTTTTATTAATTAATAATGAACAGTATTTCTTTTAAATTTCTATTTTAAATTTATTTCTCTATGGAATACATGCATATACTATACAAATGACGCAGTAACATAAAAGCAATACGCACATTGTTTTTACTTCTTTAACTGTTCTTCTCAATAATGAAAGGGCATGCACAGTTGTATTTTTCTCTCACGCAAAAGAAATGCATTAATCGATTAACATATTCTTCTGTAACTTTCTTCCGAGCCCCATATAAAGAAAGAAAAGAATGAAAAAAAGACTACGTAGTAGAGGAAAAAAGAAGCAGAATAGAATGAATCACTGAATAGCTTTTTTCTCCTCTTTCTGTCCTTCTAGTTTACCCTTCTGTTTCGTTCTACGACAATAAGGCCATTCTTACTGCTTGAAACGAGAAAGAAAACGCATAGACATCCATTTGCTGGTTTTTATACTTATTTGACGTCGAAAAATTTTATAAAAGAATAAAACACTATTCTTTTATTAATAATTATTAAAGCAAGTTAAAATGCTTCGTATATGTGCTAATTTATTAAAACAACGAACATCACAAGTATTAGTTTCAACAAGATTAACATCAACAGATCCATCATCTGGTTCTATAAATGCTGCTCATGATAAATTTTCTGAACGCGAAAAAGCACTTGAAAATAGTTATTTTCGAAAACAAAATGATGAACTCATGACAAAACTACGAAAGCGACATAGCGAGTTAGAAAAACAATCAGATGATATTGAACAGGAACAAGAAAAAATCGAAGCTGAAATTAAAAAATTAGAAAAACAAAGAGAAGAGTTAGCGAAAAAAACACAAAAACAAACAAAAAAGTGAAACTATCATCGACAATGATTAAAATCCAACCCCAAATAAAAACTGTTTTTACAATGTTTTTCCTATGTATATCTAAAACCTCTTCTGTTTATAATTAGACTTTGAAAGTAAAATAAAATAAACTTAAACTTCAGTTATTGATCACTACTATTGAAGATAATTTACATGATTCTTATTCTTGACAAATAGATTCAAAAATGATTTTTAGCAACGTTTCAATGAATGACAGTCATTTTTGAAAAATGAATCCCATTCGTTGTTATGAGCAAAAGTTTTGTCGTCAAAGTGATTGCGAAAAGTCAGTTGTTAAATCTCATCTTAATTCTATTAAAATTATAGAAACCGATAAAGAAATGAATATTTAATTTTCGAATGAATACACAACAACAAGTATCTAAAGAATAAAAATACACAAGTGAACATTTTTCAGAGAAATGATTTAATTTTTATTTATTATCACGAATAAATTTAATGGAATTGATAATTAATATTTTTTCATCTATCTCGAAGTAAAACGGTTTTCCTAATGAGAACAAAATCATAAATATTGAAGAAAATCGCATTCATAATTCATTGGAAAACTATAAAAATTCAATATTTATGTTCAACTGTGTTTTATATCTGATCATATAAAATTAGATATTATGTAATATCTAAGACGTTATCACAATAAAGAATATAAGTTCAATAAGTGATACACAGTTTCAAGCAATATCTTTTTAAATAAGTATAAGAAAATTATTTTATGAGACAAAAATTGATAAAAAAACAAGCACAATATATAATTATTACATATTTTTTTACAGTAATATACGTAAATGACAATATTTTTATTTTATTATAGTTAGAAAGTTTGATTTAAAATTTCAAAGGAAGTCATAGATAAATAATTGATCAAACAACTACAATTTTTCATGTAAGAGTTATTTTGATTTTTGAATATAAAAACTTTGGATAAATATCAAATTTAATAAGGATCTTCTATTCAATAGCTTACCTTTTCATATAAACAGTAATAGACGGAAATCATATTTATTTCAGATATGTAAAATAAAAATAGTGATCCTAATTGTTGAATGATTTCAAAAGTTTTGATAATATTAAACATGAATTTTACTGAATTCATATTGTACGACTTATACAACATGGTCATAATAGAAACATTTCGGAGACAATAGAAATTGAACTTTAATTTATTATTCTTTTATATATCAATTGAAGCATATTTATTGATTACATAGAATAGGAGAGCTGTCATCAATTCATCAGAAAAATCTTAAAAGCATTTGACTTGAGTATTAAATTCTTATATATTTTTTTGAAATGAAATTTTAGTTTTGTTAAGTTCAAAATTTGATTTCATGAAACAAATTTTTCTTTTCTTTGTTATAAATCATCGTCTGATCGATAGTTCTTCAAAGTTTCATAAACAAATCGAACATATGTATGTGATAGAAGATTTTCTCCTTTCTAGCAAAAAAAACGAAATAGATATATATACTGTATCAAATACAAAAATTAATCAGTAACAGATCTCTTTTAAACCGTTAACTAGAAATATTTTGCATTTTATGTTTCACATTTGAGAATAAAAGATTAAGGAAAACTAGCGATCTCTTCATTTCAGTGTACAAGAAACTGTATTGATAGCTATTTTGTTAAAATTTCTCCAACTAACTCTGAAATTAAAATTCTTAAGGACATGAAAGTGGGAATGAAATTTGTTGCTTTTTGTCTCTTTCTCACACCCCACACCCGTACTCACACCCACATGATAGGAGGCCAACATTTTTTTAAAAGCGAGAGAACAATATTTGTTCTAAAAACTAAGTACAAGACGCAATTTTTAATCTTTTCGAGCATCACCTCACAGGTGCAACAAAATTGAAGTATTTTTCTGGGATTTAGTTTCTCCGATTTATTCCGTATCGGTAACCTCACTTTAAAGTGCTTAATAAAGTCTAAATATCGATGGCGACTCATAAGCCTTGACATGTTATCGTTGTATTTTTATTTTTTCAAATTTCATTCTGCTATTAATTAACAATTTACAGTGTAGCAAGCATCACATTACTGGTATTGTCTTACTCTGTTTTCAATATTAATTACTTCGGAATTATTGAAAATAACATATTTAAACTACGAAATAAAAAAAGCAATTTCATTTATCTCTGCTGTATTCATCTCTACTTTACTTTAATCATTCATTGACGTGAAAGAGAGACAAAGAGGATGTCGATAATATTTCTTGATACTGCTATTATTCTGCTTGTTGTGTCTTTGGTCACAGCTAGTGTACCAGATACACATATAACAGTGTCGGGTATTTCTTCAGGTGGTGCAATGGCTACCCAATTGCACATTGGATTCTCAAAAGATATCAGCGGGTGTGGAATTTTGGCTGGTCCTCCCTTTTATTGTGGCGGCAGTGGAATGACAACAGCTCTGTGCATGACTGGTCCAGCCTTATTGATTTCTGTTACAGTTCTAGAACAGAAGATAAAATACTACAGATTACTTGACAAAATTGATGATCCTGTGAATCTCAAAGGTGATCCTGTGTACGTTTTTTCTGGTATATATGATAAAGTAGCATACCCTGGTGTTGTCAAGCTAAACGAACAGCTCTATTCACGACTGGGAGCAACGGTTAAAACAAATTTTAATATGCCTGCTCATCATGGTTTTCCAACGGAAAATTTCGGCGCCGCATGTAGTACATTGAACATGGCAAATTATATCAACAATTGGTAAATAAACATTAGTTCTATTCGTATAAGTGAATAATTTTATTTTTTTTAGTAACTTTAACTTAGCCTATGACATGTTAAATCATCTCTCTGGAGGCAACCTTACCAAACCAGTGAATTCGAAAACTCCACTGGTCGGTCAAATGCTTATGTTCGATCAAAATGCATTCATGAATTTTCCTTTATCATTGGC